ATGATGTAATCCACGTGTGTTCCTTAGATACATAACTCAATGAAAAAGACGATGAGATGTCAACGACCTGGTAGACTTTAAACACAAATTTTATTCAAAACATGTACCTTTTTAATTTCGGGGTGCAAACAGGTCTGCTTACAAGAAAGGGAATGAAAACGTGTATAGCACTTCACATGCTTAACTGCATCGGTCGACAACTCTTCACAAAAGAACTATTACGGAAGTAGTCATTTAACGTCAATTCATTGAAATGATTAGGCCTACACCCCCAGGAACCCCAGCGGAGATATGGCACACTCGAGTGCGAAAAGCCGAGCAAGTAGGGTAATGCATGATTCGTACGCCTATCATGCTTTATCTTCAAACAGCCGATATTTCGTTAATAGTACTCGAGAGCATAGCCTCAATATGTAAGTAGCCTAGTTCCCTATCTCTAAAACAACTATAGATATTATATATATATATATATATATATAAAAACATATATTGCCTTGGTTTGGCTCTGTAATCATTAGTGGTAGTGGGACTGGTTTGGGCCCTTCCTAAGCTGGTCAAACGTTTCTTTTGGGTCTATACCCCAGCTGCACTGATGAGTCCTGGAATACGTACCTTTAGTGCGTAGTTATAGAGGCGAAGACAATTGATGAAGCGGCTGAAATGAATAACTGCATCATGACTTGGGAAGGAAAGGGGAATTTTTCTATTGATTGTTTACCACAAGCATTAATATCCGCATTGAGGGTCTTGAACTTTGGAAGCAACCATTATTTGATATAGGGTGATTAATGCAGTTGTCGGCCTATGCACAAGCTCTATTGATAGGGCCTACTACTGTAGACATATTATAATAAAATAAATAAACGCGCTTATTAATTGAATCGTACTTCTCGTTTAATCTGCTTGTGTTCGTAACTCAGTTCACATTTGATATATTTATTTTTTTTCTCAACCTTATTCTACATTTCCAACAATATAGGCCTAAGAAATGACAACAACGCTCTTTTTGATGGGAAACATTTAAGAGGGTAATGAGAATCAGATTTTTGAATATTTAAAATCTGGGGAAAAGGGGCGTAACCACTTTTTTTTCTCCTTTTTCCCCCACTATTTAAATATTTAAAATTCTGTATCTCATTAAACAGCTTTTAAGAGTTTTTCGTCAAATATGATTTTGTTTCATAGAAAAATCATTTCTACAACATATCAAAACATTTTTTCTTTCCTGGTCCCCTGGCTTTAGGACTAACTACTGTATAACATTATATGTTAACTCTAGCTTTTGTCTACATCAGGAAACTGTACAAATGGGATACGATGTAAACCTTCCTACGCTCCACAGACTCAAACAACCCGGACTTCCAAGCCGCATATTTCTCCAATAACCACAGTAAAGATGGTACTGCCATCACGGTTGTCAGTTTACCACCGAAAAAAAGCTACCATAACATAATTTAAAAAATGCTACTATCATTATAATGCTGGACTCAATGTTGTATTTAGTGCTTTTAACATTTAATTGGTGGAGATGTGCATTATACCTATAATTATTATTAATTTGATATTTCCTAGATTCTAGGCCTATGTATATTTGTATATATATATATTCATATATATATAAATAAAATCAAAGAAGCTGCATAGGCAGAGTGATAGGATATAAAATCAAAAGCAACACGGTTGTGATCTGCCTCAGTAGAAATTTATTTGATACGACATGTTTCGGGCATAGCCCATCATCAGGTATGAAAAGCTGTGACAAGAATAGATAAATAAGTAGCAGTACATTAACAAAAGTATAACGTGATCATCCAATCAAAAAACAGATAATAAGCAGTCAACCAAGCTCATGCGTCGTAATAAACAAAGAACATAAATAAAACAATACAATAGAACAATGGGGCAGGCACCTAAATAAAGTCAAAATGGACACACCTAGAGAGCCTAAACCAAGTATTACATGGCATAAGAAAGTACTGAACAATGTAGTATAAAATCATACGAATAAAACAGGCATAGTAACCATTAATGCGAGTTACATCTAAAAAATATGCCCTCGGATAATAAGTATTAAACCCTCTGATAAAAATAGCAAAAAAGGACTCGCCTTAGAGAACGAAAACCAAGAATTACATATTATAGAGTAATAAATACAATATAACAAAAAAAATCATGAATAAAACAGCCGTAGAACAAATAATGCGAATAATATCTAATAC